ACTAATCAGTAGATAAAAAGTAATAGTAAGTAATAAAATAAACAAAGTATTTAAAAAATTTTTAAATAAGGCATTTTTTAAGATCTCCATTGTAGCCCCTTTCAGGTCCCGTTCCTGACCGCTGCCAGAAAATAATGGTGGAAGAAATTAAAGAGCAGGATGTTCATTTACCCATTTGTCAAACAGGGGATTGAACTTGTATGTGGATCTTTTTCGATAAACACAGTCTTGTCCTGAAAATGTATCTTCTTACGGTTTCCTGAGTAATATTTTATTTTCTCTACCTGACTTTATTATAAGAATACGGTAATACATGTAACATGCACGATATGTGCTCATCGACTGTGTGCATTATCGGTAAGGCTCCCAGTCAATGGTGGGCTATGAGCAGTGACGTTTGGGGGAGTCAAGGTTATAAACGGATTTTTACTCTGCAGGGTGGAGGTCGGTGCCTCAACCCTTGTGTGTTGTGTTGAGCGCCAACCATACACTAGGCTCTGAGCCAAAACTCAAATGGAAGCCTCTCAGTACTCAATCATCCACACGTGGGGCTCCTCACATGAACGGGTTAGTTTTTAGTGATCACAAAAACCACAAGCAGAATGGAGGCAGGCTAACAGGATGGGCTAATCAGAATTCAGACTCTGCCACTTTCTGGTCGTTACTTATGCTCTGAGCCTTACTTTCTGCATCTGTAAGATGGGGTTAAGAGCAAATTCCACCCAGTGAGGTTTATGTGAAAATTCTCTCCCCAAAAATCATTTTCATAAATCACTCGGCACAGTGGCTGGCATACACTAATTACTCAAGAAATTAGCTGTTATGATGATTGACCAAAGTATTTCCTGCAGCACTCTGAATAACGGGCAGGAAAAACAGCATCAAACAATTTTACCACCAGGCTAAGGTTCTTTCAGCAGTATTCCACAGTGTTAACCATACTTGAAAACCGACTGAACCCCTTCAAGGTCCAAAGAAGCATACTATGTACCGAAGAGAAATTGAAGCCAGAGAGAAAAATACACAGGGTGGCCCCCAGAAGAACTTGAAATTTAGAACAGGAGATAGAATATAGTTGTAGGATGTCACTCCCACAAAAGGTTGGAAAATGAACACATGAAAGATATCCATGTCCAAATCCCTTGAACCTCTGAATGTCCCCTTAGTGGGGGGAGGATCTTTGCAGATCAGATTGAGTAAGGTGGGAGATGACGTTGTGGATTGTTCTGGTGGTCCCTCAATGCAAGGGTATGCTTCTAAAAGGAGGTGGTGGGAGACTTCACACTCAAACAGAGAGAGCAGAAGATGATGTGAGGACAGAAAAGAGAGGCGGGAAGCCACTGGCCTGCACGACTGTAGTGATGCTGCCGAGGGGCAAGGTGCAGGCAGCCAGCCACCAGAAGCTGAAAGAGGTAAGACACAACTCTCCCCTGAAGCCTTCTGCTGACACCTCGATTTTGGCCCATTGCTACTGATTTTGGACTTCTGGCCTCCAGAACTGTGAGAGAATAAATTTGTTGTTTTAAGCCACCATTTCTGTGGTAATTTGTGGATGGATGGATGGATGGGATGGATGGAAGAATGGATGGAAGGATGGATGGATAGGGGCTGGGTGGATGAATGAGATGGGTGGATGGATGGATAGAACAGACTGATGAATAAAAGGATGGATGGATGGATGGATGGATGGATGGATGGATGGATAATGACTGGCTGAATAAATGGACGAGTAGATAAATGGATAGACGAGACAAAAATAGAAGGTAGTAGTATAAGCTTCTGCAATAGTGTATTTTTGGAGTTTTGTTTTGTTTTTCATTTTTTTCTTGGCTTCCAGAATGGAACCAAATTAAACAGATTCTCATACTTGGAATTCTACCTTTCTATGAACATAGAAATCTATGAAATCATATTTCTTATTCAACTTTATTCAGAAAAAAAAATGAAAGTTAATGATCTCCCTGTTCCCATGGCCCTTTAATTATGACATTGTTTAAATGTAAGCAAAAAAGTCTGTCTCAGTCTCTGTCTCTGTCTCTCTCTCACCCACACCAACGGGCTCCCTCCTAGGTAGCTCCTCCCCTGAAAACCCAGACAAGGCATCACTGTAAACCAAAGCTCCTCTGAGTCCAGAGCTGTACTGGACTTCTCCTGGACATATCCGCCAAGAGGAGGCCCTCTGGCCGCCTGATGCTTCTCTTCTGACCTAAGATGGAAGCTTTACATACAGAAACACACTGTGCAGGAAGACACACCAAGAAGGCCACTGCCCAGGATGCTACTGGGCCAGCACAGCCCTGAGACAGGTCCAGCCCCAGGGCTCTGATGGTCTGCTCCTCACCGGCATTTGCAGGAGAACAAAGTAACTCTGCAGGAGAAACTCTGCAGGTGAAAGTCCAGACAAGCAGCCTAAGTGTGGCCACCTTGATCTTGTGCATGAGAACTGCCTGCTCTCTGCCCACGTCCTGTGTTCAGATTCATTTGTCTTATCAGCCCTTACCTGACATACTCCTGCCTGGCCCCTGCCCCAGAATGAACTTCCATCAAGTTCCCAATAAGACTGGACCCTACACATAAGACACAAGCTCTCTGGCAACTGGACATAAGCCCATTCTCCAGAAAAGGCTGGGACCATAGGTGAGCATGGCTGGGAACCTGTTGATTTCGTAATAGCGTCTCTAGGTCCCTGGGGACAGAAGTACAAGCAATGAAGCTTTCTTTTTGTTTTTCAAAAGATCTATAGAAGAGTGGGTTCGCTCTGTGACCAATGACTTCCTGCTTGTGAAATGTAAATATATGTGAGGTTCAAGGAAATCAGTCTGCATTAAAATGTGCATATCTGTTCATTCAAGGATCCATGTTTGGAAGGAACGAAAGCAATACAGTAAAAACAATGATATGCTGAAGGAGACGTTTAGTATTTGGACACAATCTCCATTCTTCTATCAGCCCCAGACCAACTGTGCACTTTGGATTACATGCATGCATGCCTCTGTGTGTGTGTGTGTGTGTGTGTGTGTGTATGTTTGCTTCCAATTAAAATCCGGTTAAATATAGTCCATATTTTAAAATTTAAATAAATATAATCCATATTTGATTTCCAGCTGGTTTAACACTTCCGGGTGGTCAGAGAATCTTAGAAGGAAAAGTGATGCGAACACACGGGAACCACAACAAACCATCCCTGCATCTAGAAATCACCAGCAAGTTGCATACAGCACAAAGGCATTAATTAGAAGGGTCAAACTTTTTCTTATTCTTGGGTACAGTGTGAAAAATCGCTGAACAACCGACCCTGGGCTCAGCACCACGCTCACTCTGAAAATCCACACAAAACTGACTCACTTCTGAACAGTGTGGCTGAGTTGAGGTCTCTCCATTCAACACACAAAATAGGTCACATGCTGGGCTGGTAGCATTATTTCATGAGCAGAGCCCCCCCCCCCCGCCCCCGCCACACCACCCCCCAGACACACACATCACAGAGGCCCCTGTTTTAAGGACATTTTCAGGTTTCCACTTGAAAAAGTTCAAAGGCATCAGAGGTAATAACTGTTTTCTTCGGCACTACTCAGTCTAGTAAAGAAATCAGTAACAAAACTATGGACGTACCCAGAGAGACACGATAGTTACGTCCTATTTACCAAGCTATTCTGAACCCTTCTTAATAAAGCCTTGTTATTGCAGCATAAAAACAGAGAAGCCTATTCCTATTAGAAAATCAAGTGACAGCCAATAAAAGCCATGCCTTGCAGCCATAGGCAAGTCTGCTGGGCTGCTGTTGCCTTGGATTAGGGTTTTGTTTTGTTTTGTTTTGTTTTTAACCTAACATCTGCCTGGGTTGGATTCACTGAATTCATCAACCTTTTCTTTGGTTTCTTGTGCACATCCTAAATCCTGGAGGCTCTGGTCCTCAGGATTGCACCAATTCCTCATTAGGAGCAGTGCAACAGCACTCAGAAGACAGCTGGCAGGCTGAGCAGGCTTCCTCTCCCTCCACCCACAGCAGCTCAGACCCCCGCCAGTGGCCCGTCTTCTCCTAGTATCAAAACCTCCCTGATTCTGATAAAGCTCACAGAAGGAGATTTCTGTAATTAAAAGACTCTGCCCATGATAAGTGGCTCTGAAGTTTCTGAGAGGGGTCTCATCTGGAAAATCTTAGCAGAAAAATCCGTTTTCAGGGATTTGGGGGTACACACTGCAGACTTGCAGGAACATCCACTTTCCTAAAGGATTCCCCTGGAGGAAAGGAGGCGCCCGCAGGGAACTGCACACGAATAAAGAGTCCTGATCAATAATGAGAAAGAATTGCTGGTTCCTTCTACAACCCCCGGCGCGAATCACATAATTTCCCTTCAAAGAATTAAGCGTCCGGGGCTTCCGAAGCCGCTGGGGTGCCGGCGGAGGGAGAGGGGGTCACATGGAGACTATCCGCCTCTGCTCACAGCTCCGGTCCGGCTCTGCGGGGATAACTTGGGTGACCCGTGGAGGGGCTGCAGCCCGCGCCCGGGCAGACCCCGCGCGCAAAGGCCCTCAGGCCTGTCCTAGGGGCACTCGGGTCACTCTGGGAGCCTAGAGCCGGGCCCTGTGGGCGGCTGCCTCCCAGACCCCAAATACATTCCCATGCACAGGACAGGAGTGCGCTGGAATCCTTTGCTCGCAGGTCGGCGCCAGCGGGGAAAGCCGAGCGCACATGCCGGGGCCCTTCCCGGTTCCCCCAAGCCTCCCCCGCTGACCCGGAGCCCAGCCCTCCCCGCGCCCCCCTCGCCTTTCCGGGCTCTCCGGGGCCCCCTCCCCTAATTCGGGGCGGTCTTTCCTCGCGTCCCCGGGCAGGGTCCGCCAAGTCCTCCGGGGGGGCACCTGCTGCAGAGCGGCCGCCCGCGCGCGTGCACACGCGCACGCGGCACCCACGCCCTCCGTCCCGGCCACCCCAGCCACGCACACTCCCCCACCCTCACTCCCGGCAAAGTTGGTGCCGGGCCGGGGGCGGCGGCGCTCACCTTCGGAGAATAGGGCGGCCAGGCCGATGAGCACGCGGGACCAGCGGTGCCACGGCGTCCCCATCTCAGACGGGCTCATCCCGGACCCCCGAGCGCGGCTCCTCTGCTCCGGCGCCGTCGGGGCGCAGCCAGCGGGGGCCGAGCCGGCCGGGCTAGGGGCGCGAGCAGCCGCGGGGCCCTGCGCCCTCCGCCCGCCAGCCCATGGCCGGCCGGGGACGACCGCGCGCGGCTCCGGACTCGCTCCCCCGAGGCCGGCGCGCGCCGCAAACCCCACCCCTCGCCCCCGCCGGGCGCCGGGCTCGGGCTCGGGCTCGGGCTCGGGCTCGGGTTCGGGTCCGCGCGGGGTCGGCCCTCCCGCGGGCGGGCGAGGGGCGCCTCGGGAGCGCGGCAGCCGGCTAGGGCGCGCGGGCGGCGGGGCGGCGGGGCGGCGGCGGCGGCGGCGCTGGGGCCCCCGGCGGGCAGGCCGGGCGCGCGGGGCGGCGGGGGGCGAGCGGGCGCACGGTCCCCATGCCGCCCGCGCCCGAAGTTTGGCGCCGCCGCCGCCGCCGCCGCCCCACCCCCGCCCCCGCCCCCCGCGCGCCCGGCTCCGGCCCCCGCGCGCGGAGCGCAGAGCGCACGGCACCGGGGAGACGCGGCCCCGCGCGCGGAGGAGCCCCCGCCGGCTCGGGAACCCGCGCGGTGGCCCCGCTCCGCCGACCCCGCCCCCGGCGCCGAGCCGAGCGCCGCCGGCCCTGCGCCCGGGGCCTCTGCCTTCCCAGTCTGTCCTGTTTTGGAAAGCCCCACCCTTCCGGAGTGACAGCGGCGAGCCCCAATCCGCGAAGGAGAGCCCACCTCCCCGGCCGCGGCCCGCCCCCCGCCCCCCGCCCTCCCTCCCCCCCGCGGGCGCGGCTGCCACCCGGCCCCCACCCCCACAACAGGTGGCCGGAAGGCAGCTGCCCTCCCTCGGGCCCGAGCCTCCAGCAAAGGGCGAGTCCTCCGGCCGGTGCACGCAGAGGCGGCCGCGGAGGGTCCCTCGCCGGCCTGGGCATCCCCGACCAGCTCTGGTCCTCGGGCCTGGGACGCGCCCTCCGGCCTCCCGCCCCCACCCCTCAATGGCCAGGTCGGGGTCCTGAAGCAATTCCACCTTGTCTCTCCCCTGCCCACGCCCCCCCCCACCCCCCACGGGACCATCCGGAACCCAGAATGGCCCTGTGGTGTGCCAACATGGCCTTGAGAAGAGAAAAGACAAGGTTCTCCGGTTACACCTTCCTGAATCCTTGATTAAAACAACCCTGAAACTGAGGTCACTAAAAGCATCGGCCTGTGATTTGAATCCAAGGACCCTTCTGCTCCACGTGAGCATTCGAATTAACCAGATCAAAATCAGAGGGGAAGCGGAGCATTCTGAATACCCAAAAAATCTTGCAAGACGACAACCACCAAATCAAATGAGGTGAATTTCCCCAGTAGGTTAAAAATGGGTCATTGTCATCTGGCTCACGGAGCAGCCGATGTTTTATCCCAGATGCCCGTGGTTGCAAAGATATACCAGAGCTTTAAGAGTTTTGAGTGTTCAAAGTTTCGAGGAACATCAGGCAAGCAAGTGTTTTCCTACAAAAGTCTGTCTTTCTGACTTTCTCTCTTTTTGAGAGGTGCACTTCGCCTTTATTCTGCACTGGCTTCTCTGAATGGATGCCCATCTTTCTGTTTTTCTTTTGTTTATTTCTTGAACTTCAGCCTCTTCTCTTTGGGTCTCCTATCAAATTATAAAGAGTTAATGCAGCCAGGGTGGGTGCTAGGAGATTTTGGATTTCAGCATCTCTGAAACTTGAGACAACATCAACATCCCTGGGGAAGCTTTGTTAAAAACTGCCAGCAGAGTGCAGAGCCCTCCCCCGGAGCCTCTGATTCAGCAGGTCTGGATGGAACTTAAATGTCTGCATTAACAGGCTCCTGGCCCAGCCGATGCAGCTTGTCCCAGGACTCCGGGCCTAGTTCACTGTGTCCCTTCACCTCCAAGATGGGGACACTGAGGCTTAGCCCCCTGCACATCTTCACCTGGCCTCCTCCTGGCAGAGCCAAAGTCTGTTGTAGATGCCAACTCCAGGGTGGCAAAGTCAGCTTTAATGCGAAAGGGGGTCTTCTTTTTTAGCATCTCCCAAATTTATAGACTAGAATTCATGATCTGTTTTCCTTACTGAAAACAATCCACTTTGTATTCCTTAAATCGAACTAAGATTTTTTTCAGGATTGCAACCATCAGATGTCCCTTTTGGGGAGGGGCTGGTGAGGAGGAGTGTCATTGCAAAAGATTTCTCCATTTGCGTCCTTAGGGTGAAAGGTGGCTGACAGCTTCCAGCTCCTGCCCAGGACATACAACTGCTTCCCCATTTTGCGTAGTTAGTTAGGCAAAGTTTTTTTCTACTCTTTGGTGTGGAAGCTCTTGGGGAAGCCAGAACTCCAGAAACCTGATCAGTGGCTAAAATAAGATGCAAGAATGGCTTCTCCAATATGTCGTGCCAGCTAATATGTCTAATCTTCTTTGGGAAATTAGCACAACTAATCATGGGGGAAGCCGATCCTTCAAAGCCTTGGAGAAGCGCTTGGGGCCTGCCAGGTCCCTAGCTGCAGCCTATGCCTCTGGGACAACATCTCCTCCAAATCTCTTGCCTTGTGTCTCTCAAATTAATTGTAAGAAATCTGCTTTCCTGCAAGAATATGTGTTTCATCTGCAGGACCATAAATCAATTTGTAACGCTAATTTTGTCAGTAACTAAGGTGTACTAATTACGCTGTATGGATTACGCTTTTAGGTAAGGCAGTTTGGAGTCGCTGTCTTTCAAGAAAACAAAACATTCCCTGCAGCAGGTTTCAGGAAGTGCCAGCTTTGTCCAGGAGCTGGTAAAGGTGGAAGGAGCCTGCTAGAATTCAGCGTGGAGGAGAATTAGACCATGGTGGGGTAGAAGGTGTTTCTGGGTGCCAAATGTTGGGGCAGTATTTAAAACTGGAAGCCCTCCAGTCCCTCCAATGGCATCAAGGAGAAAGGCTCAAGCCTTCCAAGCTGTTCACAGTGGCAAACGCCCTCAATTTTAAAATAGAGGAAACATCTTTCTGCTGGGAGTGACACTATCTAGCTAGATTGTGTTAACGTTGCTTTATTTCTTCTTTGATTATTAATATGTTTTTCCTTTCCCACGTTCCCTTTACTTTGGTGGTATGTTTCCTTTCAAATTATGTGAGGTAAGTTTCTGCAGGATGGGCTGACCTGACACAGAGCATCCCATCACCACTGGTACAGGCATGTATACCATCTTCTCTCTGTAACAAAACTCATGGAGACACTTGAGCACTAGCTCAAGAATGCAAAATGTTGCATGTGAGCCACCAGATCAATCCCTTCTGCAAGTGCAGAGGAGACTTTCTGGAACTCCTTTTTTGTTCGCAATCTCCCCAAATATGTGGAATGGCGAGGAAATAAAAAGGCCAGAAACGGGGATCCCTGGGTGGCGCAGCGGTTTGGCGCCTGCCTTTGGCCCAGGGCGCGATCCTGGAGACCCGGGATCGAATCCCACGTCGGGCTCCCGGCGCATGGGGCCTGCTTCTCCCTCTGCCTGTGTCTCTGCCTCTCTCTCTCTCTCTCTCTGTGTATGACTATCATAAATAAATAAAAATTAAAAAAAAAAAAAGGCCAGAAACGGCTTGCCTGTCTCAAGAGTGGGGACAGCATTCTGATTTGGAGTTCATGGTAGCCATCAGGAGCACCTCCTGCCCTTCCTGGGGAGGCTGGGGGAGTGCATCCCTCCAACAGGATTATCTCTGTGCGATTCCGGAAAGTGTCCTTGAGGACGGCACTACTGCTATTCGCCAGTGCCTGTCATTCTGCCCTTCTGGACACAGGGATGATGATGCTTCTCGGGCCCCTGGAGAGGTGACCGATGGAATATGAGCAGAAGCAATGAGGGGCCTTTCCAAGATAAGGCAATGAAGAGCCCACCTGTGGTTCTTTATTCTGTATGTCCCCCAGTGGGAGGCTGGAGGACACCACGTGTTTGAGTAGGTCCCGCATTGCTACAGGGTGGTGAGTCTCCATCAGCCAGCCCATCAGGTCCAGGGAAAAACCCCTGCCAACCCATGCAAGACACCCTGCAGGAGACACAGATTAGTACTATGTTAAGTCACTGTACTTGTGGACTCTTCTGAGTTACCTTACTAATATCTAGATTGTTCTTCCACCCTCTGCTACTCTGTCCTTTCTTGCTTATCTCTTTGGGCTCCCTAAGCAAATGTTAAGAACCCAGCACATCAGTCTCCCAGTCACCCACGTGTGGGATCTTTGGGTGAGCCCTCAGTGAACCTAAAGGAACAGATCAATAGCATCAAGCCCCTTGGCCTAATGTACTGATCTATGGATCCATACCAAAAGTTCAATCAATCTTAAATGGTCTTCTTTGAATTTGTATGCTGTAACTCCCAGAATAAATCCTGCATTTCTACCTCCAGCCTGGTCAGGCCCTGTAGGGTCCTGGGTCCAGGGTGAGGATTCCACGGGGGTCGGGGAGAAGCTACAGGCCTCCTCTCCTACAGCAAGCCCCCTGCAAAAGGACCTCCTGGACTTTTTGTACACTTGTCCTTCATTGGAGCTGGTCATGGTGCCACCGGCTGTGTGCATCCCTCCCCATGTACCTATGAGACACGTGGCTGGAGCACGTGCTCTAGGCTTCTAAGGGGGAAGTGCAGGGTTCTCAGTGGGGAGAGATTTAGACGGATTCCTTAGTCCACACAGTCTGTATTTATGATGTACCTGTTGTTGACAGGGCACTGAAATCAAGCTGGGAACATAGCACCATGGAGCTTGTGTTCTCATGGGGACAGACAGGGACCAAGCAAATAAAGAACATGACTGTTTTAGAAAGACTCTAGAAGAAATTCAGACAGGATCATGTTCATCTTGAGAGAGGGTCCGGCAGGGCTTCTGTGGGAAGGTGGCCTCAGAAGCGAGGCCTCACTGATGAGAAGGTGCCCCTGTGAGATCTGAGTCATAACATGTGGGCAGAGGGGACAGCGGGGGTGAAGGCTGCGAGGCATGTCAGAGCTGCTGGG